GAGGACTGGCCCAGGGCAGGCAAACCGCATCCTTCCTAATGTGAGTCCACACGAGCACCCTCCATGACCTCTGACAGCAAGGCTATGCTGGCTGACCTGACTTCAGAGTGTGAGTGTACTGTGAGAGCAAAACTGGCCTCTATTCCCTGAGGCTCAATAAACATTAACTGTGCAAACCACAGCTCTGAGTTGTCACCTTACTCAGTTCTTCACCAAGGGCCCAGCCCTTTTTGTTAAGAGTGCTACTTAAGAAAGGAGGGGGCCCTTGCCTTAAAATGCATGGCATCAAGAGTAGACAGGTAGAGGCCACTGTCTGTTCCTCTCACTGCACTTTGATCCATAGTTACATCAGAAACAAGCTGGTATAACCAGATCCCAAGTTTCTTCCAAGATGAAAGAAGGGGCTGGAGAGGTAGCTCTGGGGTTAAGAGCACTTGTGTTTCTTTCCGAAGACCAGGTTCAGTTTCCAGTTCCACATGGTGGCTTATAATCATCCATAACTCCAGTTCTAGGGCATTTGATACTTGTAACTTCCACAGGTACACAAAGTACATGTACACACATATGTACATACAAGCAAAACACTGAAATACCAATCTTTAAAAATTAACTAGTCAGGTGTACACGCCTTTAATTCCAGCACGCAGGAGGCAGAGGTAGATAGCCAAAGCTTTGCAGAGAGACCTTGTCTCAAAAAAACAAAAAAAGGGAACTAAAAATTAGAATTAAGCCAAACACTTTAAATATTGCTGATGTTTTCTGGGAATATTTAAAAACCTGTATTGATCAAGAAAAACACCTAATGTAAGGCATATTAAGCCCATGTTTATAGTTTTTTGTATTGTTTTTATAGACACTCTGGTGATAGACCCAGACCAAGCGGCAAGTCTGTGCAATGGGGTCTAGTTAGAAGACCACAGCTTCAGAGGAAGGCACTGGCTTAGCCCAGACGGAGGGAGGTTCTTGAACCATGAAGTAGGTTGAGCAAGGCAAGGGCTGAGCAGTGTGTGGTCTTCTGACTATAGATGCTGTGTGGTCCCTCAGGACAAACTGCAGGACTGAAGGGAGGATATTAGTGTACACCCTCTGATTGATGAATAAAATACAAACTAAGCAGAATTCACTTTGATGTCAGCTACCTAGGAGGTCTACCTGGCACACAATTTCTCCCCTGGGAATATTGCTTCTGCCTGCCAGAGTGGATGTTAGGCCAAAGAGCCCATCAGTTCTGTATTCTGGAAGTGAGAACCTAGAATCCATGCCTGGGGATTGTGGGCTTGGGAAACCTGTGGGCTCTGGAAGCAGAAAGTCCAGGGTGCCTCAGCTCTTAGCCCCCAAGGCCAGTTGATTCACTTTGTGCTTTGCTGGTTTTTCTTTCCCAGACTTCCCTCTGGGCTTACTTAGGCATTCAGGTTTGCATTTGTAGGGAAAAAACGCTGCCCAGAAGGTAGGTAGAGCTGCCTGGCCTCCTGGAGGCCCCTTCTCTATGGAGCACGGCACCTCCCAGCTCAGGCTTACTTCCACCTCCTAGATCAAGAGACCTCTGAGCAGAATGCAGTAATTGCATAACTCCCCATGTGATCTTGCCTGTCAACTGTAGCCTTACTTTCTGATTTTAAAATTCAGCCCCAAATGAGAGGTAGTTTTCCCAGAGCCCCTGGCTACGAAGTGTTGCCTTCCCAGGTCCCATTTTCATCTGAGGCACAGGAGGCTCCAGTTCTGTGGTTTTCACATGGCCCGGTCCGTGGGTCCATGTGAATCAGGGCATTGCAGACCATGGTATGTTTAGGGCTTGGCACACTCTCAGGCTTCCATTAGACAATCTAAAATCATTTACTTTGCAAGCATAGCTTACAGACAAGTTTCCTAGCCCGGGGGGACCCTTCACCATCACCAAAGAGACATCCAAATGGCAGTGGCATCCTTAACTAGGCCCAGTGCTGAGTGCCTCAAACCTGTGCTTTATTGACGTGTTCTCAGAGTGGAAGAACTTGCTGCTTGGCCTCTTTGGGTCCAGTCACCAATCTTTCAAGGATGAGCCCACCCAGTCCCCAGGATTGGCTGTCCTTGGTTCAGAGATGGGAGTAGGGTGGGGCTGGAATGGGGAGTCTAGGGTGTCTGGTCTAAGTAGCAAGCAGAGGCTGCCTATCCAGTAAAATAGCTGCCAGGCTGGAGGGAGGTGAAGATTGGTGCGCTGTGCTGGAACCCTGCTGCAAGAGGCCGGGGTAGCACCTGCCAGGGCCTCATTCTGGCTGAGATCAGCCAGGAGCTTTCTTCTGCACTTGAAGGGATCGGAACAACTGCCTCAGCTGCTCCTTCCGATCATTGACGCAACCTAGAAAGAACACGAGGTGTTGGTTGGGATGGCCTGCACACCCACTTGCTGGTACAGGGAAGGGGCAGCAGGAATTGCATGGCCACGGGTGCCCCACTCCTGTATTGGACCAGCCCTCAGCTCACCTTGGGGCATCAGCTTTCTCGGAATGGCACCACCAGCCATCAATGGTCAACAAAGGCTTAAGCTGACTGGGGGTTTACCTGCCGCTTCAGACACTGGCCCCGGGTGGCTTGGTAAGCCCTCACAGGGATGGTGTGTATTCAGGAAACTCAGAGAGGTGGTCATTTTCCCCAAGCTGTGTGAGTAGCAGAACTGAGAGCTGATCCCAGGCTATGCAGTGCCAGAGTCACATTCCAGCTGCTTCTGCAGACTGCAGCGCCCTCATCTTTGCTCGGTGAAAACACACAAGCCAGCAGCACCTGATGCTAACTTTACCCCCTTACTCAGCACACACTGGGTGTGTGTCCCAGGCAGTCCATGCCAAAAGGCTGCCTCTCCCCACACATTCACCAGGCAGCCTGTTCCCTGCTTGGTCTCAGCCGGTTCTGAAGGCAATACCAGTCTTTAATCTTAGCCAGGCACATTTGTAATACTCACAAATATGCTTGAATGGCCTGACCCACCATGGCCACAAGAATTAATCGGGCAAGGCCTGCTTCCTACATAGTAACTCCAATCCCAGCCTCACCTCCAAGGCTGTCAAGGCTTCAGCACCCACCCTGTGCATCCGTGACATTTTCCAAACTGATGCCAGGGAACCTGCCTCAATGTTTTTGGCTCACTCATCATGCCAAATCTTGAGGTTCAGTACAAAGCCTTTCTTGGAGTTGTAGGCTCACCCCTGGATTTTAATTGCTAACCTTTTCACCTAACGACCCTGAACACATTTCTGACTTGTCCTCAACCGTCAGCATTCTTCCTCTGCCTCTGCTCCCCAAACAGCTCCTGTTTACCACCACTCAACTAAAAATCTGAAAGTAATTCTAGAGACTTCTACAGATACTGTTCCCCTGTTTGAGTGCCTGCAAATCAACCATCTCTTCATTTCCATTAAGCATCTGCATTTTTCAAGTCCAGTGTCTGCTGTTGGAGCAACCATTTGCAATCAGAAGACAACCTGAGCGTTCAGCCAACCTGCTGAGTGTGGCAACGAGGGGAGGAAAGTGTCACCCAGGCATCTCAAAACCATTGTGTCAGTCCCCTATGCCATACCTAACACTGGTGGCCTGAGACACCTCTCCCATCCCCTCACCCCTCCCCACCCTCAGGGTCTCCTAAATATTAGGCAAGAACTCTACCATTTTTCTATAGCCCCTCTTTGGCACAGTTTTTCACTAATTAGACTGGCCTTGAACCCATTCTGTAGTGCAGGCAGGCCATGAACTTGTGATCCTTTTTTTTTTTTTTTTTTTTTTTTTTTTTTTTTTTTTTTTGGGTTTCTCTGTGTAGCTTTGGAGCCTATCCTGGCACTCGCTCTGGAGACCAGGTTGGCCTCGAACTCACAGAGATCCGGCTGCCTCTACCTCCCGAGTGCTGGGATCAAAGGCGTGGGCCACCAACGCCCGGCCACATGTGATGGTCTTACCTCACCCTCCCTAGGGGCTGGGTTTACAAGTGTGTGGCACTAGGCCTCACTAGGTCAGCCCCTTCCTACTTAACTATTAGTTGGATTTTGTTGTGTGCAGCCAAACCCAGTCCTAAACCATACTAAACTCTTTAAAAGATACACAATTTCTCATCATAAAAGAAATAGGAACTTAGCACCTAGGAGCCAAAGGCAGGTGGATCTCTGAGTTCAAAGCCAACCAGGTCTACATAGTAAGTTCCAGGCCATCTAGAGCCACATAGTGAGACCCTGTCACAAAAAACTAAAAATTTAAAAAGGAGCCATTGGCGCACGCCTTTAATCCCAGCACTCAGGAGGCAGAGGCAGGCGGATCTCTGTGAGTTCGAGACCAACCTGGTCTACAAGAGCTAGCTCCAGGACAGCCTCCAAAGCCACAGAGAAACCCTGTCTGGAAAAAATAAATAAATAAATAAATAAATAAATAGGAGCCATAAAACAAAATTTAAAACAACAAATGAGAAACTCCAGGAAATATTTACTATACATTTGATTGAGCAGGGTGGGATGGGCGGTATCTTCAGCCATTAATGTCATGTCTTTACAAATGTAGAAAATTACAGGCAACCCAGAGAAAAACAGGTACTGGCTGGGCATAGCAGTACACCCATGTAATCCCAGCACTTTGGAGGCAGAGACAGGGATTTCTGTTTGAGGCCAGCCTGATCTACATATTGAATTCCAGGCCAGCCAAAGCTACATAGTGAGACTTTGTCTCAAAAAAAAAAAAAATTAAAAACATGTCTACAACCCCAGCACTTTGTAGCCTAAGGCAGGAGGATTAGAAAGAACTTCAAGCTCAACCTTAGCCCCTTTGTGAATTCAAGGCCAGCTTGGCCTATGTATGGCTCAGTTGATATATATGAGGTCCTTGGTTCAAATCCTGGTAGCATGAAAGCCTGGCATATTAGCACATACCTATGGTACCGGCACTCAGGAGTAGAGACCAGTGGACCATAAATTCAAGATCTTGGCTACCTGGTGAGTTGAATGACAGCCTGGGCTACATGAGAACCTGTCTTAGCCACACCCCCAAAACCACACACACAAAAAATTAATTTCCTGTAAGAACTTGGTTCATGTTATTTTTCCATAAAAGTAGTCTATTTATTATTAAAAATAAAAAGCTTACAAAAGAAGAAAGACAAAAACTGAAGGCGCCTCAGAAAGCAATGGAATCCCCATAAAATAATAATGAATTCACTAAGGGGTGAAGGCTTGGATTCCTTTCTAGTTATCTAGTTAGTCTGCCCCTTTGGCCCAGTGACTCTACTTCCCTGGATCTAGAAGGAAATAGTTTCAGTGGGTTTCACAGGAGAGGATGTTCACAATGATGTTCTCTGGAAAAGTAAAAAGATGAAATTGTGCCAAATGCCCATTGATAAGAAATAAGCTTGGTAAATGCTGGCACACAAGAAATGCTCTGCAGCTATGCGGTAACCACTTTGTAACTTTTCTGGGACTAGGAGAGTCTAGAGGTCAGGATTCAGGGGTTAGGGCTCAAGCTGACCCATCACCATGACAACAGCCTTCTGCAGTCTGTGCAACCTTTGGAGACCATTTCCTCCCCCATGGCGGGATCACAGAAGCTACCATATGAAATGTGGTAATGCAGGTACACACTTAGCCCAGCCCTGGCTAACACATGCTTCCCATGGGAGGGCCTTTGTATTCCTGAATGGAGGGATGCCACGTGGAAAGCGGGACTCCAAATGCCAGTCTGGTGCCAGATTTATAAAAATATGAATATATGCATTTTTTAAAACTGGAAGGAAACACCAGATTGTTAATGATGGTTATGTCTGGATGTGTTTTAAAATTTCCTTCTTTAGTTTTCAAATATTCTACAATGAGTGTGAATTGCTATAATTGGAAATTTTTTCACATTTTATATACTAACTTTATCGCAGACTCCTGCAGTCTTTAACTTTTCTAATGATAATTTGTTCTCTGCCTGAGTCTTGAAATCCCCCTTCTGATGACTCAGTAATCTCTCACCAGGAGTGTCCAACTTCTTAACATTGTGACTAGACATTGTCATCTACAAAGTTCACACTTGATAATTGTGAAAAAACTCTCTCTCTCTCTCTCTCTCTCTCTCTCTCTCTCTCTCTCTCTCTCTCCCTCTCACAGAAAAATCTCATAAATATCTTTGAGTATACAATTTTGTGTTGGGCATTCGGTTCATGGGGTCCCCAGGTTGCAGTTGGGCACACCGCCTGTAAGACACTACTCATCTGTATGTTATGGATGAAGAACAGAGAGGGCAAGCTGCTTGCCTGAGTCACACAGCTGGTATGCTGCAGATTGGATTTACATGATCTCACTGCTATGCCAAGCTGCCCCAGTCCACCCACACCTCCCATGGTGCCTCTGTCCCACTCACTTTCTGTCTGACTCATACCTAAGCGTGTGTTGGTCACAAAGTTTCCCAACCCTGTGAGGTCAGAAGGCCCCTCCTCTCTGCTGACAGGGCCATCATTCCACATGAGGTCGAAGCCCCCGACTCTCTTTTCCCTTCCTGTGAGTCTGGGGGTGCAGAGGATGGAAGAACACGTAGTCAGTGAGGCTTTAAGAAAAGACTCACCCATCCCACCTGAGCCAGGGGCCAAGCAGCTCTCCAACAGGGCCACCCTCACTTCCTCCGAGGCCCTATTCACCAATGATCATGTGCTCCTAATTTGTAGTTTCTGGTTTCAAAACTGCTCCCTTCCTCAACCCAGGGATTTAGCAATCCTTCACACTGGTCTTGTATTCTTTTCACTGGAGACACGGTGTTGAGAGTGGTAAGTAGCCTCTTGGTGGACACTGTGAGCCAGATACTTAACAGTGAATTGCCTCAGTGAGTTAACCTAACAACCCCAAGGAGAGTTAGTGCTCCCTGCTTTACACCTAAGGAAACTGTGGCTCAACGAGGCCAAGTGACCAGCCCAGGGTCCCACAGTCAGGAAGCTTTGAGTAAATCCAGCTACACTGAGTTCTTGGACCTATGGGCATCCCAGTTTCTCAATCTATGAAGGAAGTGTTTCAAGGTTTTGAGTCCCCTCTCCCTCGACAGGACCCTACCTGCCCTCCATGTCCACCACGTGCAGGGTGTCTTCCAGCAGGCAGGTCTTCAGTTCGTAGTCCTCCTGGCTGCTGGCTGTCAGCGAAGGAGATGCATTGACTTCTAGGAGCCACCTGGGGAGGGAAGAGGATACCGTGTGTGGCCTGTTCTGCAAGAGGGAGCCCATGTGTGCCACTGTCAGTCAGGACAAAACCCTGTAGCTAGGAGGGCACAGGTTCTAGTGGGGAAGCTACTGCTTTTGTTGTGCTAAATGGACATGATACCTATGAAATGCTTTCTAAATCTAGACGTGTATACACCCTGATCGTTACTGCTTCGGCCCTGGCCTGGGAAGTCTCTTTCTGCAGATGACCGCAGTTACTGCAGAAACTTGTGGGTATAAAGAAATAGCAATGATTACAATGGCATTGCAGCCCAGCACTCAGACCTTTCACGCCCTCCGAGGATCAGGTAGAAGAGTAGGCAGAAAGAATATAAGGGCCAGAGCAATGGGAGCAGTGCCGCAAAATACTGTCCCCTAGCAGGGTCAGTCTCCAAGTTAGAGAGGCTATGATTCACAGCTGCGATGATAGATAGATAGATAGATAGATAGATAGATAGATAGATAGATAGTTGAAACATGGATAGATAGATGATTGATTGATTGATTGATTGATTGATTGATAGGCAGAGTATCTGTATGATATACCAATTGATGGGTTGGTTGATCAATAAGAGATATGAGTGAGATAGAATACATTTAGTTTAGGGGTATGTTAGTTTGACATTCAGATATTGAGGTCCATGTAGTAAATCACACCCTCACAAGACTAGGCCCACTCACAGTCCTTGTTCAAGGTGACAAGGACTCACATGACCTCCCCTGAGATGGGGGCCCTCTCTTCTTCAGTGAAGTTGCTGCCTGTGAGTTCCCATTCTCTAGAAACTGCTTAGCCGTGCTCCCGAGAATAAAGTAACCCCACTTAAACCCATTGGTGTCCCCAACTAGACTTAGGTAGAATTGTTTTTTCTTTTTTTTTTTTTTTCTTTTTCTTGGTTCATCGTGGCCTCTTTATCTGTGAATAGAAATAGACTCCTCAGGAAAGGTCAAGCAACATCAATTCAGCAAATAATTGGTAGAGGTCCCTTTAGAACCAGCACTGATTAGATTTCATTTATCCCTTTAACAATCCCACAAGGACAAATACTCTGATCATCACCAATTTACAGACTGGCAAACTGAGGCACAGTAAAAGTAAGCATGTCCAAGTTTGTACTGCTAGGAAGCAGCAGAACTGGGATTCAAACCATGGTGTCTGCACTGGAATGAGTAGCCTGTCGTGACCCTCCTTCCCCTGTTCTCTGGGCCACTGCCCACTTACGGCTTGAGGTCCTGGTCAATGAGGATGTCATAGCCATACAGCTCAAAGCAGTGCTTATCACTGATGATCACTTTCTGCACGCTCTGCAGGCTCTTGATGAAGATGTTGTCCATGTCACTGAAGAGTGTCACTACGGCCTCTGGACCGTGCTTGGATGCCAGGTACTGTCGGAAGCGCTGGAGCATCCATTTGCAACCCTGAGGCCCAGACAGTCGGGATAGGAGAGGAGCCCGTTCATTGATAATCCTTGAATGCGCCCATGTGCAGGACCCTCAAGCCGGGTGGGAGGGCTCATCTGAGTGCCCCTCACTATGGAATAAAGGCCTACATAGCTAAAAGGACTGGATGTGTCTCTGGCCCCTCCCTACACAGGTGGCTTTTCTTGGTGACTGCACTGGTAGCCTCTTGGGGCTGAAAGGCAACCAAAAAGCTTCTGCTCCTAGGATTATATGGTGTGAGATGAAATCAGGGGAGGGGAAAACAAGAGTAATGTGGGCAGGGAGCTCACTCATCCATGCCTCCTGATTTGGCCCTTAATTCTGAGAAGTCTGAATTCTATAGTTGTACCAACTTTCAGGCTATCATATGGATTGGCAGCAAACGGGTAGGTGGATATGACGGCAGATCCATCCTACTGGATGACAAATAGATGATAGATAGATAGATAGATAGATAGATAGATAGATAGATAGATGAGGAGAGAGATAGGGAGATATATAGGTAGATTGATAATTGACGGGCGGAATATGTGTATACCAGTTGATGGGTTGGTTAATCAGTAAGAGATACCTAATATATGAGGATAAAATACATTTTGTTTAGGTATATGTTAGTTTGACATTCAGATATTGAGGTTCATGCCAGATGAGCTCATCTCTGCAGATGGTAAGGGTGACCCTGCCCTCTCTGGTAAACTGTGGCCCATCTTAGGCTCCATGTCACTCTGCTTGTCCCACCCACTTGGCCCAGAAGGAGGGCAAATGCCTGGCTTCCTCACCTTTTTGGGGTGGTAGTCAGGAGATGTCTTCTGCACAGCAACATTGGTGAGGTGAACGTCTGGCAGAAGTTGATAGTCAAGGGCTAACATGGACAGAGAGGGCAGCCATATTCCCTGCTGCCCCAGAGACTGAACTGATGAGACCCTGGCCTTGGCTGGGAAGTTGACAGGAAAAAAACAAAAACAAACAACAACAACAACAAAAACAGCCCAAAGTTATATGCATGAGCTTTGGAGTCAGATGGGCCTGGGTACAAGTCCTGAGTACATCTCAGGAGATGTGAATTCCTGGACACTCCAGGTGACCTCTCCAGCCTGTTTACCACCCGTGCTGACTCATTTTATGTCAACTTGAAACAAGCTAGAGTTATCTGAAAGGAGGGAGCCTCAATTGAGAAAACGTCTCTATAAGATTAGCTGTAGGGCATCTTCTTAATTAGTGATTGTGGGTGGTATCATCTGGTATCATCCTTGATCTGGTGGTCCTGGGTTTTTTTTGTTTTTTGTTTGTTTGTTTGTTTGTTTTGTTTTTGAGACAGGGTTTCTCTGTGTAGTTTTGGAGCCTGTCCTGGCACTCACTCTGGAGACAAGGTTGGCCTTGAACTCACAGAGATCCATCTGCCTCTGCCTCCCGAGTGCTGGGATTAAAGGCATGTGCCACAGACGCCCGGCAACCCTGGGTTCTATTTTTATAAAAGCAGGTTGAGCAAGCCTTGGAGAGCAAGCCAATAAGCAGGACCCCTCCATGGCTTCTGCCTCAGTTCCTGCCTCCAGGTTCCACCCTGACTTCTTTCAGTGACGAACTAGGTGTGGAAATGTAAACCCAATAAACCCTTTCCTCTCCAGCTTTCTTTTGGCCGTGGTGATTCATCATAGAAACCTAAGACCCCAGCCTGTGGACTGGGAGTACACAAAGCACACTGGCTTCACAGGGTTACTTGAGGATTGGATGAAGTGCTTCTTGGGAGCCTGGCAGCATCAAGAGGACGATATTACAACTTCCAACCCACACAGCAATGCCTGACAAGAACAGAGACCACATACAGAGAGGGCTGTGCTGGTGGCCCCTTTGTAGGGACATCAGAGGAGGGGTCTAGTGTTGGGGAGGAGGCATGGTGCTGAGGGGCCCAGGCCTAAGAGTCTGCCATTTGTATCACCACCATCGTCACCTCCAGGGTGACACCATGACCTATAAAACACTCCTCAAGGGCCATCTCGTTTGCTCCTAAACAATCTCCATCTCATGGGTGACACTTTAGAGGCTCAGAGAAGGACAGTGCCCACCATTCAAAACCCCTCCTCAGCATCACTCCCCCAGGCCTATGAAAAAGGAAGCTTTGAGTTCCAAAAAGAGGCAGGAGGGAGGAAGGGAGGGGGAATGCCATAATCTGTAATATAATTATGACACTTCCCCCTCCCCTTTCCTCCCCCAAACCCTCCCACAATAAATCCAAGGAGGACAGTATATTTTAATATATCCAACAATACCTGTAGATTTTATTACCTCTCTTGGGGAAAAAGTAGAAATGGATTGTTAAGAAACCAATCACCCACATTCACACATGTCCCTGTCAGGGCATTCTGACACCTCAGTATTTTGATGTGCTTGGCAGATATTGAGTACCATGTAGATCAATGCCCTGTAACCCACTCACAGCACTCAGGCTGAATTATGTTGTATTTGTGTGTGTGTGTGTGTGTGTGTGTGTGTGTGTGTGTGTGTGTGTGTGTGTGTGGTTATATATATATATATGGATGAGAGAGAGAATTATTGCATGTACACTATATATTACATATACCAAAGTTAAAATTGGCATTTCTTGTTTTGTGATTAAAAAATTATTATTTTAAAGGTTGATATGTTTAGAGTTGGGCAACAGCTCCATCATAAAGCGCTTGCCTCCCAAGCATGAGGCGTTTGGTCTCCAGATGCCACAGGAAAAAACCTCTGAGAATGGCCAAGCATGGTGGCACACATGTTTAGTACCAGCACTCAGGAGGCACAGGCAAATGAATCTCTATGAGTTCAGGGTCAGTCTGGTCTACAAATTGAGTATCAGGCCAGCCAGGGATACATGATGAAACCCTGTCTCAAAACCAACCAACCAGCTCTGAACATGGTGGCATGTGCTTGTAGTCCCAGCACTGAGGGGAGAGACAGGATCACTAGAGCCAGCAGGCCAGCCCAGCAGATCATGTGAGCTCCAGGCCAGTGGGGGACCCAGAGGACAGGTGAGTTCTAGGTCAGTGGGGGACCCTGAGGACAGGTGAGCTCCTGGCCAGTGGGGGACCCTGATGCTCCTTCATAGTCTTTTCTGCAGTTTCCTGTAGAAACATTTAAAAGAAGAGTAGAAAGTGCTGTGTGGTCTTTCATGTGAATATTTAGTGACTAAAGCCTCATTTCATGGAAACGGCCCCTAGGAAGGGCCTGGCTTCTTCAGTATGTCCTCAGGGTGCACAGGGCTGCACCAGCACTCTGACACAGCATTGACTGAAGTGTCACTGGGGCCGACGGCGCTCCATGTGTTTTGTATGTGTTACTTAATTTTAATGAAATTAATGTAGTAGAAATGGAGTCAGCAAAACAAGGAAAGTAAGTCATAAAGCATGCACAAGCATGCACAGGAGGGCCCAAGCAATGGGCAGGCAATGCAAATGTGTTACTTAAGGTGCACACTTAGACTGAAAGATTCACTCAGGGCAGAGAGAGGAGGCTGGCTTCAAAGCCCAGGCTGGAATCTTCCCATCAGCGTGAGGATCCTGTGTGCAGTCAGGCCCGCCAGCCCTCTCACCCCCGGTAGCCTGGGCTGTCCTTCAATTCTCTTTTGAAGCTCAGTTCTAAAAATTTCAAAACAAAACAAAACAAAAACTGCCTATTTGTTTTGTTACTGATGCGTGTTCTTATGTAGCCTAGGATGGCCCCAACTCACTCTATAGCTGAAAATGACCTTGAACTTCTGAGCCCCCTGCCTCCAACTTCCAAGACCTGGGATTATAGGCTTGTGTCATTACAGCCTGTTTATTGGGCGTGGGGATGGAACCCAGTTGCTTTGTGCATGCCAGAAAAAATACCCTGCTAGCTGAGCTACAGCCCAGTCCTGATTTTGTTTTTTAACACAGGGTCTCACTTTATGGCTTAAAGTGACCTCAAACTCAAAATCTTCCTGTCTCAAACCTCCCACATGCTGAGATTAACAGGTATGTGCCTTACATGTATCATATCCAGCAGTCTTTTTATTTAAAAAAATGTGTATGATTTGTAGGCAATACATTCACCTGGCTCAAAAGTAAAAAAAAAATGTTTTATATATGTGATAGATAATACGTTATATATGCACGCACATGTATGTAGATAATCTGATTTCCACTCATTTTTCCTCCCCAAGACAGTTTCTGTGTCTAGTTTTTCTTTCTTGCCTCCATTCCTTTTTCCTTCCTTCCTTTCTTCCTTTCTCCTTCCTTCCTTCCTTCCTTCCTTCCTTCCTTCCTTCTTTTCTTGGCAGTGCTGGGATTAAACCTAGGCCCTTGCATATAAGGCAAGGGCTCTCCCACTGAGCCATACCCCCAGCTCTGTTTCGTTTCTTATCTATCATTCAGAAACGTCTATACACAAAACAACAAACCAACCACAGACTTGGTTTGACCTGAATGGGAGTAAACTTTTTGCTCTTCTACTTTCCCCCGTAGCATTCCACTTAACAGTTGTGTAGTATTCCATTGCAAAAATGCCGCCTTTCTTGTCGCCTGGGTTCTGCTTTCCATCAAGGCTATGCCATGTGCAGCCTTTAAGCCCATCTGTTCCCATGTTGTGTGTGTATCTGTGATATACACACTGAAGAGGCTTGCTGGTCACGGCGTATGTGCATCTGTCTTGGCAGCTCATTCTGAGGGTCACAGTGCTTTATACACCCGCCGAGCACACACACACATCCTCCTCCTCCCCCAGCTTTGCAGGACAGTGTGGCGTCTACCAATAGGTTGGTGACTGAGTGACTGAGAGGAGCACTGTGACGATGCATGAAGAAGGATGAAGAGGTTCTGGGAGGCTCAACCTGTCCTCTCCTGTGAATACGTGTAAACCTGAGTGCTGGACACCCGTGAAGACCACCATCCAACAGAGACATTTGAGGGGCACTGCTCTGAGCAGATCCTTCCCCTGAGAGCCTGGGAACCCCTGGAGAGAAAGAACTGAGCTGATCTTGAGTAGGGACTCTTGTGCTCAGATCCCAGGGACCCTGGCAAGTGTCCTTGGGGTGGAAACGTTCCCAGGGTAGGGGGAGGAGGAGGGAGGCTGACTGGAGGAGGGGACTGGAAGGAATATCCTTGGAAGGATACAATGGTCATCGATGCTGTTCAGTGTGAAGCGGGTGTTGGAGAATCTGGCAAAGCCATCTCGGTACAGCCAAGCCCGCAGAGGGATGTACTGGTGGGGTGAGGGAGACAGGAAAGGAGAAATGATGTCCAGCGTGTCCCCCGCCACCCAGTTCCTCACCTGTCTTCCTTCTACCCAGAAGGCCCTGCCCCTCTCCACAGCAGCCTTCAATCATTCCCTCCACTGCCACCCCGTGACTCCATCCCTTCCTGCCCCTAGGGGTGCAAAAGAAAAAATGATGTGTCTACCCCAATGCATGACGACCCCAATCCACCAGGACCTCAAGGTCCTGAAGGATGGGCTAAGCCTGACACACTGTGAATTCTTGTTCCCAGTGGAGTGTACATCATGAAGATTTAAATAGGTGCTGAATTAATAAATGGAGGAATTTTAAGTGGGCAAAGGGAATACAGCACACTCTGCAGCTCCGCTGTCTGGATTTGAATCTTAGTTTGGCAATCTACCTGCTGTGTGACCTTGGGCAAGTCATTCACCTCTCTGTGTTTACCTACTCTGTGACCTTGAGTGAGTCATTCAACTTTGCTGTGCCTGTTTTTGTTTTTACTTTTTTGAGACAGGATCTTGCTGTACAACTGACTCGTCTGGACCTCACTATGGAGACCAAGCTGGCCTTGAGCTTGAGCTCCTCCTACTTCTGCCTCCCAAGCACTCTTAATCAAACTTTATGCATCCATTCTCATCTGTAAACTGAGGCGAATAACCGAGGCCTCGGAGTTGTTACAATGCAGTGAGAGCCTGCTGAGTGCTGGGGCCTGGCGCTCAGTAGGTGCTCAGTGCCTGTTTGCTATGGTTACCTGCAGATCTGAGTGAGAGATGGGAGGACTACAGCTGTAGACACGGACAGCTACGATGTGACACTAGGGACATCCACCTCAGTGGCCTCCCTCCATGTCCCTGGGCTCACGGGAAGCCCGGCTGCAGTGACTCACCGACATAACCAAGACATAGACTCGCAGGTCAAACTTTCGGCCTGTGGGAAAGAACTGGTTGGTGTAACAGATACTGCCTGGCTGTCAGATTGTGGGTAGGCTTCAGATCACATTAGGAGATGGACAAACAGCAGGGATCTGCCTATCTGAGGCTCCAAGCACACCTACACAGGGCATAGGGAGAGGTTGGGTGGGGCAGTGTTGGGACAAGGTGAGAAGTTTAGTGGTCAAGGAAGGCCCTATGAGAGGTGGAGACTGACTGACAGACACACAGACATGTGTAGGCCCAGCCCAAGCTGGGTAAGACCTTCTGGTCAGACCTACATACAGATGGGCAAAGTGCCTGGGCCCAGGGGAAGGGAAAGAAAGGAGACAGGTGGCAGGGGCCAGGACATGTGTGGTTGAGGACAGTAATGCAGACTGGGCCAAATCTCCATGCAGTCTTTGAGGTTTGTTCTATAAACCACAAGGAGCCACTGGCTAGAGTGTTCCCCTGCCACCTCATTCCTCGCCTGTCTTCCTTTACCCAGAAGGCCCTGCCTTCTCTCCATAGTAGCCCTCACTCCCTTCATCCCTACCTGTGACTCCACCCCTTCCTTCCCTAGGGGTGCAAAAGAGACAAAATGATGCATCTACCATCACGCATGACCCTCTGCCAGGTCCTGAGGCATGGCTACTGACTACTGTGTTGGCATGGAGTCTAAGGGACCAGGGCAATGGGGCACCAGTGGGCAGGTACAGCCATCCGGGAGGGAGACAACAGCAGCTAAGACTGGGACAGTGAAAAGAGAGACAAGCAGCTTTAGAACTGAGGAGCTTGGTGAAGAACAGGAGAAAGGGGGCTGGGGAGATGACTCGGTGGTTAAGAGTGTGTGCTGCTCCCCCACAGGACCTGATTCAGCACTCAGCACACACATTGGAGTGGGGGGAGGGGTGATCACGCCTCCTTATCTCCAGCTCCAAGAGAACCCATACCTCTTGCCTCTGCAGGCACCTGCACTGGCCTGCACATACCCACACACAGACACAAGCACCTACACATAATTAAAATAAGAAGCACAAATTAAAAAGAGAGAGAGCAGTGGCAAGGAAGGACCAAGGACACCACAGACTTCCCAGACTCTGGCTTAGCAACTTGGGGGAACAGAAGCCATGGCCCAGGTAGAAAAGCTGGAGAGTGAGCCAGACTTGGGGGCAGTTCTGAGTCTGAGGCACATTGGTATGAAGTCACTGGGAGAGTCCAAGTGATTTGGGTTCTTGGCTGGGGACAGAGACCTGAAGTCACTGGGGCAGGGAAAAAGTGAAGAGACCCAGAGGCTGCCCCCCCCCATCAATGGTCATTGTCAGAGGACAGGGAAGAGGGTGGGGGAGGTCATGGCTATAGTGAGACTCCTTAGGTAATTCATAAACACATGGGAAAGCCCAGGACAGCTGCCTGGGCTTCAGGGAAGCCACTGTTCCCAGCAGCCTCTGCCCTGGGAATGGCCTCTCCCAGCAGCACTCTTCCTCCATGTCTACTCACAGGCCATCCCAGAGGTGACCTGTCCTGATCCCCATGTCATCCTCTGTCCCCTTGCCCCGTTCTCCACAACACTGTGTGGCTGGACTCCTTCAGGCTTGCTGCTGCCTGCTCCAAGTACATATGGAGTACATATGGAGCTCATATGGAGCTCATATGGAGCTCTTAGGGCAGAGTCCAGGACAGTGGCTGGCACCAAGGAGGCTTTGTAAATGTTTCACTGTTGAAAGCATGAATGGATGAACTGGCTTCCGAGGAGAATCCCCCTGACCCCCGTGGGAGTAGGAAGAGCATGCCAGGCTGGGGGAGTCCTACAGGCCACAGCTAGGAGGTAGGAGAGTACAGGACAGGTCTCTGTCTATGTCCCCTTTCAGGCCTGATGACAGGCCAGGTCTTTTCTGACTTATGTGTTGACTGAATGGTCAGAGGGCAGGGGTCAGACACAACCCAACCATCTTACCTCCTATCAAGTAGGGGTTTTCCACATAACGCTGAGCCACATAGTTCTCCACTGGTATCTCATCTTTCTGGTCATCAGAACTCCTTGGGTCCTGGTTGTGACAATATTGATCAGGAACACACATTGAGAGTGTCATGTGTGCTGGGTGTCACGCCAGGCACTATACCTGGGGTATCTGATTGGATTCTTATATGGATCCTCTCAGGTAAGAATAATGCAACCCCCATTTCAGATGCACGCCTGAAGCACAGAGAGGTAGAGTGACTTGTCTGAAGTCACACAACTGGCCAGGATCCAGCAGGGATATGGAGCCGTATGCAGTTTGAGCCCAGAGCCTGAATTACTCTTAGACCTGTGCTGCCCCAGAAGGCAGCCGCTGGCCACATGTGGGGATTGACATTTACATTCATATTGATAAAAGGCATGGGCATGGACAAAACCCAAAGTCAGTGTCTGCCTGAAATAAACCAGCAACAAAGGATCCACTTCTCCAAGTCACTGGAGTAGTCACATCCTCAGAAAGCAGGAGAGCGGTGGAGGTCAGTATGGAACACACAGAGTTTTGACTTGAGGGGGTGCAAATACTCTGGCCATGGGGTTTCATGACAAGTGCACCAAGGGAATCCTCCCAGTACTTCAGAACTGAACATCAAAAATGGTCAAAGAGGGCTCAGTCAGCAAACTGCTGGAGACACAGTGTGAGGACCTGAGTTCAGATCCCCAACACCCACTAAAAACAGGCAGGTAATCCCTGCACTTGTGGTGGGGAGGGCTGCTGAGACAGGAGGATCCCTAGAGCTCACTGGCTACCCAGTCCAGCTGAATAGGTGAGCTTCCAGATTCAGTGAGAGGCCCTGTCTCTAAGGAAGGGGAGTAATTGATGAAGACTCTCAATCTCTGCCTCCCTGAATGCATGCAAATAGTCAAAATGCTAAATCGTGTGTTCTAGACAGTTTACTCCATTGAGGGAGGGGCACTGCTGGAGAAAAGGGGGCAGGGCTATGTGCCTGATAGCCAAGCAGCTGCCACTCAACCATGCCCTCTTGCAGCTTCAATTCTCAGAGGAAATGAAATTTCAAAATTTTAGCCCTTTGATGAGTTTAGTGGCAGATCACATGCCCAGTGTGCAAAGGCTCTGGCTTCTGTCAGAAAGGGGTGTGTGGGGAGAAGGAAAGAAGGAAGGGAAGGGGAAGCCCTGGAGGGAGGGAGGAGGGGTGGAAGGGGAGGAAGAGAGGGCCAATCCCCCTTTGGGAGCCCAGTGCTTAGCCTGGAAAGAGAAGTCACCCATGCCATGGCTGTAGAAGTTCTAGCACAGCGATGCCTAGAGGACATCAGAGTGGGGCCGTCCCTTTCTCCTCTTACCCACCAGCTCAAGGGACAGCGACACTCACAGGCACAACCCTCCCTGTGACCCCCCCCCCATCTCAATGGCCTCATGAAGAGTTAAGACCAAACCCCAGAGTCACACACTCTCTAGGCTCACAAGCCACCAGAGGTAAGCACTTGGACTAGGGACTTCTGGCTATGGGGAAATGCCCCCTTCCACCGAGCCATGGCGGCCCCCCCCCCCCCGGGCGCCCGGGCCCCCCCCTGCCGGC